GGGGCATTCTCTTGTCATTGTTCCTTGAAAAAAAAACATTGTTTCTAGGAATGCCCTGTTGACAGTTCCTTTTTTGGTGACTTTATTTACCACATTTGAAACTTCTGACATTGCTATTTTTCTTCAAACCTCTGGAAATCACCTCTCCTATCCAAGCATCATCATAGTCATGAGATTCAATATTAATTGTATCTCGGATTCCTCCAAGGGAGGTGATCTTGCCTTCTGAATTTGGTATCTCTATTTACTGCTGAAGACAGCCTTTGTAAGAAATCCATGAAGGTTTCTTTGGGGCCCTGTATAACTTTTGTAAATGATTCAATTTTCTTTCCTACTTCTTCAATTCTGTCCCAAGCATTCAAGGCTGCCATGTGGCATAAAATTAAGGGTGTGGTCATCATATAAAGATTGTCTTTGTATATCAACATAATCGCCTTCTTCAAGAAGCTGATCTTGGCAAATTCCCATACCTCTAGCCCTACATCATTGTTCTATAGTCTTAGTCTCCTCTTTCCACCAGGTTCTCCATTGTGACTGTGGACCGGCCTCTAGGACAGCTGTAACCCAATCTTTCCAGTCATGAGGAATAATTCTATTACAAGTTGACCACGAGTTTAACATCTGCTTTACGAATGGAGAATGAGACTATAGCTTCCTTGAATCTCCTCAAACCTAACATCTGCACAGGAGTCCAGTCAGCACATCCATAGCCTGGAGCATTTGGCAGTTCCTGTATGATTACTGGATAGATGAAGGTTGACTGTTTGAAAGCCTTAGGCTCATCCTCTGTAACCTTATAATGCAATGCTGAGACAGGTTCTCCTTTAAATTCTTCTGTCTGGGTCTGAATATCTCTATGATCTGTTTTAACAAGTTTTTCTAAAACTTTCATCTTGACACTCATATTAACTAACCTTTTTAATGATAAAACAAAAATGATCAAACAAATAATATTCATAGTTTACATTATGTAAATCTCATCAACATTAATTATTCTCTCATTTAATTGTTCCATTTTCAGACCACCTAATATGTTATCAAACAAAGAATAAATTCCCTCCATTGTAAAAATGTTTCCCATTTTCTTAATGTGGGAAAAAAATTTCTCTTTTAACTAGTTTCTCCCTTTAAGATATCTTAATTGACTCACCAACTCTGCTGACTGCATAGAACAGTAGAAGCCTGAGGGAGTTTCAAGGCAGCTACCTAGTGTGGTAGCAGCCTGAGATGGGGATCCAGAGAGAGCCCACAACCCACCAGGAGAGAAAAAGCCAAAGAGACTCCAGCCCACGTAGGGTGGAGACTCTGGCCTCGTGCAACTTGGGCCTGAGCCCCCAGGCAAGCAGCTTTTTTGTGAATTCGTGCCACAGACATTGGGCGCCAGATGTAACACGAATTGCTAAATGGTCATTAATAAAAAAAAAAAAAAAAAACCCGGGCTGGGGAGATGGCTCAGTGGTTAAGAGCACTGGCTGCTCTTCCAGAGGTCCTGAGTTCAATTCCCAGCAACCACATGGTGGCTCACAACCATCTGTAATGAGATCTGGTGCCCTCTTCTGGCCTGCAAAGACACATGCAGGCAGAGCACTGTATACATAATAAATAAAATAAATCTTTTAAAAAAAAAAAACCCAGAGCCAGATATTGGGGTGAAAGCTGAAAGCTCAGAGGAATAAAACAAGCCAGCCACAAGTTCCTATCGCTAGGAAATCCTCAGCCCAAGAGAGCTACTTCCTGTATACTCACGCCTTACATACCTTACTGTGCCCTGCCATCTTACTTCCTCTCTCTGCCCAGCTACGTCAGATCTTTTTGAGTTTGAGGTCAGCCTGGTCTATATAGTGAGTTCAGGATAGCCTTGGCCACACAGAAAGTTCCATGGTAGAGAGACCCTATTTTAAAACAAGACCACACCTGTTCTATCTTATTTGTATGTTGTTCTTGAAAAGACACTATTGTAGAAATGGGGAAGAGAGTGGTGGTTGTCGGGTACCAGGTACAGGGATTTGGGCCAGGAGAGAAGTGGTTGTGACTACTGTCGACTTAAACTGACCAACAGAGACCAATGCTCCAAAGCCAGCTGTTTGTTCAGGAACATGTTTGTTCAGGAACAGCAAGGCATTGTGACCTAGGATACATGTGCTGTAGTGGACCATAGACAGGTGTGTCCAAAGGGAGTAGGCAAGGGGAGGTCTTTAAAGACAGTCCAGAGCTGGCAAGTTTGCTCAGTGAATAAAGATGCTTGCCATGTAAGCCCGACAACTTGAGTTTTATCCCTGGATCTCACAGAGGAAGAGAGCTGACTTGTGTGTGCTCACACACACACACACACACACACACACACACACACACACACACACACACACAGTATGATGATAAAGATAAAGATACATGGGAGCTGTTGAGAATTAACTCCTTTGACTTCAGGCTCATTGTAAGAGTTGTGACTGTGGCTGGAGAGGTCTTTTTTTAAAATTTTTATTTTATTAATTTTTATTTTATTGGTGTTTTGTCTGTATGTATATTTGTATGAGGGTGTTGGATCCTGGAGTTACAGACAATTGTGAGCTGCCATGTGGGTGCTGGGAATTGAACCTGGGTCCCCTGGAAGAGCAGCCATTGCTCTTAACTGCTGAGCCATCTGTCCAGCCCGGAGAGGTCTCTGTGTAGGAATAACTTCTGGAGTTTTTGGTTTTAGAGAGTCCTCATAATGGATCTTATTGTCAACATACATGCATGAGGACCTTTCCTGTAAGGTCTCTCCACTCCATTCTGTGTGGTTTTGACTAAGCATGTCTATTTTGACTCACACTCTAAGAGAGCACCTAGAGGATGCTAATGGTGACAGGAGTATGCTGGATGACCTGACCAGGATGTTGTAGCACTATTGTGCAAACTCTCACTCACCATTTAGAGAAACTGCTAGAAAGGAGCAGGGGCCTCTGATCTCCAGATCCCTAACTGGGTGCAGGAACCTCCCAGCCTGCTGCCTTTGATGGAAGATCTAAGCTCTCATGGATGCTCTGCCTGCTGCTGTGTGTACCTCTCCAGCTTCTTGTGCTACTGTGTGGCCTTTAGTAACCAGTCCTGTACACAGTCCTGGAATCTCCAGCACCCTGCAGAGCTCCTTTCTCCCCACACAGTCAGAGCCTTCTGTTGGCCCTTGGGTGTGAGGGGCCAGTGAGGACACGTGTGGTTGGGTGGGTGGGTCAGGGACACAGCTGCCAGACTAGGGTGGAAAATTCTTGAGCATTGCAGGCTAGTGTCAAGAGCATTGGTGTGCTTCCCTTCCTTAGCACACACAGCATCACTGACGTGGGAGTGTTCTTTGTATAGTTGTCTTTCATGATCCCAACTGGGTTAGTGTCAGGACCCTCCTAGGATAGGCAAGTCCGTGAGGCTGAAGTCCCTTGGGTAAAGTGTCGTAACAGTATTTGTGTAAAACCTACACATCCAAGCCTGCTCTGGCACAAGCCTAGTTCTATATGCTTGGGAGGCAGAGGCAGGAAGAGGAAAGAAAAGTTCAAGGCCAGCCTGGGCTACAGAGTATAAAGCCAGACCCTTTCTGAAAGTAAAAAAAAAAAATGTAGGGGTTGCTGGGTGTGGTGGCGCATGCTTTTAATCCCAGATCTCAGGAGGTAAAGGCAGACAGATCTTTGTGAGTTCGAGGCCAGCCTGGTCTATAGATTACGTTCCAAGACAGCCAGAACTACATATACAGTGAGACTCTGTCTCAAAAATCACCCCCGCGCCGCACCCCCCCCCAAAAAAAAGAAATACAAGGGATGGGAATGTGGCGTAGTTGGCAGAGTGCTTGGCTAACGTGCACGAAGCCCTGAGTCCAACCCTCAGCACCCAATCAACCTGGTATCATGCATACACCTGTAATCCTACCTAGCATTGGAAGGTGGAGGTAGAGAGATCAGAGGCTCAGGGTCATCCTTGGCTACATAGCAGCTCTAGGCCAACCTGGGATACATGAGACCTTGTCTCAAAAATAAAAAGGTAAGTAGAAGGCTGGTGGTATAGCTCAGTGGTAGGACATTAGCCTTCATTTGCAAGCCCATGTGTTCAATCCCCTACACATCTGCAAGTCTGTGCTTTAGTAAGTCACCCCTGTATGGCTTATAACACATGGTACAATATGAATAAATGAATTGTTGTATACGGAGGACTGAACCTCTGTACATTTTCAGTACAGATGCAGTGTATTGACCTGAGTATTTCTCATCCTTGTTTGGTTGAATCCAGAGATGTGAACCCATGGATATGGAGAGCCTGCTATATCTGATGCTTCATCTCAGTCTTTTTCTTTTCTTCCCTGCAGCCCACTTCCTGTGGGAGGGAACTATCTGCAGACACATCTGGAAAGGTTGGCTGGTGGAAGGTGAAGCCACCAAGGGCAGGTCCATGCTGCCGGTGTGCTTCTCTGGCAACTGGGAAAGTGGGCCTTGGTTTTCTTTTCTTTTTTCTTTTCTTTTTTTTTTTTTTTAAAGATTTATTTATTTATTATGTATACAGCACATATGACTGCAGGCCAGAAGAGGGCACCAGATCTCATTACAGATGGTTGTGAGCCACCATGTGGTGACTGGGAATTGAACTCAGGACCTCTGGAAGAGCAGTCAGTGCTCTTAACCTCTGAGCCATCTCTCCAGCCCCGAGCCATCTCTCCAGCCCCAAGGCCTTGGTTTTCTTGTTCCCCATCCAGATGTTTCCTTTAGAGACAAGGAAACACAAAGATTATATTTAATCTCTGTGTCTGTAGATAACCTACCCTCTTGGAAAGAAGTTAGGGGTCAACAAGTAGGTCAGTATATCCAGATAGAATCCGGGGTGCATTCTCCTCAGTATGTGAGGGTCCATCAGATGTGGTGAAACCTTGACTGGTGTGTTATCAGGCAGGTGCAGAGCGGTGGAGGCAGCTGCACTGGCCACCTTCCTCACTGCCTTCTTGCCCATTCCCTGCCTTTCCTGGCTCTCTTGGTGGCTCCACACAGGTATATGCCCATGCAGGCACCACACTGCAGGGGAAGATGTACATCACCTGTGGTCGCAGAGGAGAGGACTACCTGAAAGAGACGCACTGCTACGACCCAGGAAGCAACACATGGCATACTCTGGCTGACGGGCCTGTGCGACGTGCCTGGCATGGCATGGCTGCCCTCCTCGACAAGCTGTTTGTGATTGGAGGCAGCAACAATGATGCTGGCTACAGGAGGGATGTGCACCAGGTGAGCTGGCCCAGGATGCTGACTTCAGAATTGAGCAGGAGGTCCAGGGAGTTCCCCTGTAGCCTCCCTGCTGTGTACATCCTTCACTGGAAGGGCACATGTGGTAGACTTGTTGAAGCCATGCCAGCATATCGCTCCAAGCCCACGCTTACACGAAGGCTTATACCAAATGCTGCGCATTCTATATAATGCATACACATGACCTCCATAGTAGTTTCACTTGTGCCTTCAGTTATTATGTTTTCATCAAAAAGTTAACATACCCATGCCGGGTGTGGTGGCACACACCTTTAGTCCCAGTACTTGGGAGGCAGAGGCAGGCAGATCTCTGAGTTCAAGGCTAGCCTGGTCTACAGAGCAAGTTCCAGGATAGCCAGGGCTACACAGAGAAACCCTGTCTCAAAAAAAAAAAAAAGTTAACATACCCACATTGTAGACCCTCTAACAAAGACTAGAGAGGAATGAGAAGCACTCATCCCTTCTGCTTGTGCTGTTCGCTTTCAGGCTGTGATTTGCTTCTAGCCATTCATAGTCAAAGAGCATCCCAAGCCAAGTGTGGTAGTCCATTCCTGTAACCTCAGCACTCCAGTCTGAGGCTGGAGGATTGCAAGTTTGAGATCAACCTGGGCTACACATTAAAATGAAATTAAACAAAATGTGCTTTTCTCACCAGCATTTGTCCCCAGCATTCTCCAATTTAGAGTGTGTGTGTGTGTGTGTGTGTGTGTGTGTGTGTGTGTGTGTGTATACATTGGGAAATTAATTAAACCCAAGATCTCACATGTGCTAGAGAAACCCTCTACCACAGAGTTAATCTACAAACATCTTTTTACTTTTTATTTTGAGGTAAGTTGCCCAAGCTGGCCTTGAACTCACTTTGTAGCTGTCAGAACTCTTAACTTGGCAGTCTTGCCTCATTCTTTAGCTGGAAATACAAGCCTGTGCAGTGGGCCAGCTTCATAGCTGCTGCGCGCCCCGACTCCGGTAGCTGGGCAGCATATCTACAGCCTTATAACGAGCCACTCTAGCTCCGATATACATTGAACCAGGCTGGGAAAACCGCTCAGTCCATAAAGTGCTCTCCGTACCAGCATGAGGACCAGAGTTCGTCTCTGCCACACCATATCCACACTGGCCTGGGGGTGCCTGCTTGTGACCGCAGTGCTGGCACTTGAAGACAGGCAGCTCTCTGGAGCTTGCTGGCCAACCTGATTGTTGAGTCCAGGTCTCGATGAGAGATCCTGTCTCAAAAAGCAAGATGGGTAACTTCTGAGGAGTGTCCTAGGAGGTTGGCCTCTGGCCTCCACACGCATACAAACACATTTAGCCCCCGACCTACAGGCTGTCATCACTTAGCAACGGGTGCTGTGGGAGCTCAGTTGTTTCCGTCAAGATGGAGTACCTGACATGGGCTGCAGCGCTCCCTCTCACCCATTATCACACAAGAATTAGACTGGGTTAACGAGCTCATGAAAAGGCCAAGTCCAACCATGAACCATGGTTTTTGCCAAGTTTACAGCAATATAAAGCTGAAAATTTTTAAGTGAATCCTTAAGCCAGAGCTATCTCCAGACTGGCCACAGTGGCTCACTCCTGAACTGACTCTGCAAGTTTGAAGTCACTCTGCTCTACATAGAGAGTTATAGGCTAGAGAGTGTGATGTATCTAGATCCTGTCTCCAAAATAAAACAAAACAAAAAACTGTATGTCGACGGGTCTACCCAGAACACACCCCCCCAAAAGCCACTCACAACCCTTTATCACATCTATAAAGTTAGTTTTGCTATGTAACATAATACATTCATAGGTTCTAAAGATTAGGATGTGGACATCCTGGGGTGAGAAGGCATTATTTTGTCTATTTTTATACCCAAAACCCCAATTTGATTGCTTAGTGAAGCAGATAAGATTTTGAGCCATGGGGCTAGAGAGATGACTCAGAGGTTAAGAGCACTGGCTGTTCTTCAGAGGTCCTGAGTTCAATTCCCAGCAACCACATGGTGGCTCATAACCGTCTATGCCTTCTTCTGGCATAAAGGCATGTATGCAGATAGAGCACTCATACATAAAATAAATAAAATTTATTTAAATTTTATTTACTTTTATTTTATGTACATTGGTGTGAAGGTGTCAAGTCCCCTGGAACTGAGTTACAGACAGTTGTGAGCTGCCATGTGGGTGCTCGGAATTGAACCGAGGTCCTCTGGAAGAGCAGTCAGTGCTCTTAAACCACTGAGCCACCTCTCCAGCACAAATAAATAAATCTTAAAAAAAAAAAAAAATTTTTTTTGAGCCATTGTTACCCAGGCCTGTAACCCCAGCACTTAGTAGCAAAGTAAGAGAATTGCCACAAGTCCCAGATCTGTGTCATCCACACACCAGAGTCCAGCTAGCCAGGACTGCATGGCTGTATTTATTTATTTGTTTGTGTATAAAACAGGGTCTGGATATGCATCCCAACTTGCTGTATAGACCAGGCTGGCCTAGAACTCAAAGGGAGCTGCCTGCCTCTGCCTCCACCGGGATTAAAAGCATGTGTCATGACTGCCCGGCTTGAAGAAGAGATTTAAATGTCTCTTAATACATACGACTAAATTTCCTTCCTGACATGTGAGACAGGTACACACCAGCTTTGCCACACTTTCACCAGCATTGAGTTTTATGATTTCCTTTCTTCCATGGTTGCTGGTTACCTGGTGACGTTTTTGGTATTATAGTTCTTGGATTACTAGTGGATTGAGTGGGTTTTTTTTTCCAAGTCTTTTTTACTGCCTTGGCTGTTTATGAAAAGAAGGTGGGTGGTCATTATCGGTCAGCAAGTGACTGCTTCCACATGCGCTCATGAGTATGAGTGGGTGCTGTAAGGAGGAAGGTGTTCGGTGGGGTCCATGGGAACGAGAGAGAAGCAGGACTGGACATGGAGACTCTGAGAGGGAGACTCGTGCACTCTTAGCTGAAGGCTGGGGAGGCCTATGGCTGAGTGAGGCTAGGAGGAGCAGGTGACAAAGTGACCTGGGGTGGCTGGAAGCCTGTCTCAGAAGCTGCCTGTGTTGACCTTGACCTTGGCTTTGCAGGTGGCTTGCTACAGCTGCACATCTCGGCAGTGGTCAACAGTCTGCCCACTCCCAGCTGGGCATGGTGAGCCTGGTATTGCTGTACTGGACAACAGGATATATGTGCTGGGGGGCCGCTCTCACAACCGAGGCACCCGCATGGGCTACGTGCACATCTACGACATGGAGAAAGACTGCTGGGAAGAAGGGCCCCAGCTGAACAATTCCATCTCAGGCCTTGCAGCCTGTGTGCTCACTCTGCCCCGCTCCCTGCTCTGTGAGCCACCCCGAGGGACCCCCAACCGTAGCCAGGCAGATGCAGACTTTGCCTCTGAAGTGATGAGTGTGTCGGACTGGGAGGAGTTTGACAACTCTAGTGAGGACTAGGGCTCTCATGCCTGGTGTTTGGGAGGGGGTAACCGGGGCGGTGAAGGCCATAGGGCCTGGGTTACATACCAGGCTCCAGGGTAGGGCCCTTCCCAAGCCCTCCTGGTTCACCAGCTGCCCTTTTCCGTTCTTGTTTCTTCGACCAGCCTGCTGCCAACATTTGCAAACTCTATAGCTGTGAATTATATTACAAAGAAAAGTGCTACAGAAAGGCTGCTATCATCTGAGGGGGTGATCAGGCCCATCCTCTGTGAACTCGGAAGGGCTGGTATCTCTATTTGGCCTCTTCTTCCCCTTAGTCTGGTCCCTGATGGGTTAAGTAAGGTCCTTCCTGCAAGAGGTCCTGGGGGCTAGCAGCTTTCCTGGCTGTGGCCAAAGCTCATGGCTCCTTTCTTTCTGTGAACCACATGGTCTGGTGAGCAGCTCCAGCTGCAGCCAGGACCTTGAGCAGCTGGAGAGCTCTCAAGGGACACAAGAAACCATATACCTGGAACTGATCCTAAGGATAAGGACCCTGTAGCTGTGTGTGTTTCTGACTCAGTATTGTCGAAAAATGAAATAAAACATTCTGCAAAAGGTGGTGTGTCTTCTGTGGCCACAGTCTGGATTTCTTTCCTCTCCAGTCAGTGCCTCTCTGAGTGGCATCCAGGGAGGCACAGTTTTCAAGTCAGCTGCCCTGGGGGATGGGCTTGCCATGGGAACTGAGGCCCTGCTCTATTCCAAATGGCACCACGAGGTCACTACCCTGCTCCAGACATTTGATAAGCTCCCCAAGCTGAAAGGATATTGGTCACAGAGACCAGGACCTGCCTACTGAGGTGGCAAATAGCTTTTTTTCTTCCGGTCAGGACATCTAGAATGTCTGCCCTGTCACTCACCAGCTCCTGCTGCCCTATATCCACTCTAGTCCCTGGGCAGCATGCCACTGGCTGATGTAGACTCTGGCTATGGTGCCCAAGGAGTAACCTAGTCCCATCTTCCTTGGAGAGCCCAGGGTGATTGACTTCACTAGATGTCTTAAGGTAGAAAGTCTGAGGGCTGGGGTGTCACTCAGTGCTGGAGCACTTGCCTAGAATATGATCCATTCATGAAAATGGGAAGGCGGTGTGGGACAGGGCAGTAATGTTCTGGTCTGTGTCAGGAAATAGATCTAAGGTACAAGAGGAGGGGTGGACCAAAGGCACAGACCCAATTGTGGGTGCCTATAATAGGACTTCTTCCCACCTCCTGACTTCCAGAAGTTTGTCAGATGACCCTTGGGTAATCATCTTGGGGGCTACATTAACACAGCAGGTGAGATCTCTAGTCACCTTTACTAGCATCCCCCTACCCTTTGGGAGCTGTCTGGCATGGCCTATGCCCAACATGGATGGACTCAGGGTCCAAACATCAACCTTGCTTCCAGAACACCTTCCCTGCTGTTTGCTACAAGGTCTTCAACTGCAGATTCCTATCACAGGACATAGGCCTCCTGCTAGGAATGGACAGCTGGGCAGAGGAACACCCAATCTTTCCACTGGTGCCCTTTAAAGGAAGGGGAGAATACAAAGGGGTGGTGTGATGGAGGGATGGGCTGAGAAAGGGTAGTTGGTCACTCTGGATCCCTGAAGGCAGTGGATTGGAGGCTTGGAGTTGATATCTACCAGCAAGCTTCATCTGGAACCTCACTGTTTTAGGATCTTGGGCCCCTGGGAAACATGGTATTACACAAATTCCTCAGGGTGAAAAACCCCCAAATGTTGACAGCTGCCTGAAGAATCACTTCTTTCAAGGGCAGATGGCCACATCCTCCAGTGTCATCTCCCCAGTTCCAAGTAGGGAACACTGTTTTGCAGGTCTCAGAGTACTTTGTGTACCAGTCTGCTAACACTGTTGTCACCCAAGCCAAATGTGGCCAAGGTTTACCGAAGGGTTGGCCAAAGGGTAGGGGGAGCCCTCTGAGGTCGTACAGGTTTTTCTGGTCATGTATTCTGGCTCTGTCCGTTCTGTACTCTCAGGCCTGCAACCACAGGAGGGTATGAAGTCTCTGATGTCCTCCAGTGCCCAGTGTCACTACTCCCAACCTCAAACTGAACCTCTTTACCTTTTTCTTTTTTAAAATATTTTTATTTATTTTTTGAGATAAGATCTCTCTGTAGCCCTGGGTTTATTAGAACTTGCTGTGTAGGTAGAACAGGCTGGCCTCAAACTCATGAAGGTCCTGTCTCCCGAGTGCTGGGATTAAAGGTGTGCCACCACCATCAGCTAAGCTTGGCTTTACGTGGCTTCTGTCGACATATTTTGTCACAGCAATAGGAAAAGTAGGACAACATCCAAAGTCACCATCCACTGCCGTCTCAAGAGTTGGACCTACAAGGCTGCAGTGTGCGCCAGGTACCCGGGCAGGAGCCCACCCTGGCTTAGGAAGACGGATAAGTGGGCTACATGGGTGATACTGGGGAGCTCGTGTAAGGAGGGTTTCAGGAGGCTTGTGCCTTCACAGACATGGAAGTTGATGCCATGGGAACTTGGCCCAGCTGGGGCATCCCCTCAGGTCCAGGAAGGTCAGTACCTATAAAGTCTGGGGTGAAGGCTGCAACCACAGGACCCTCTGCTGCTGGCAGCTGTGGGAGCCTCCTTGGGGAGGGCACAGCTGAGGGCAGGGCTGTGCTCAAGCTTAGCTTCCCAGAAGTGGTTGGCTTATTTACCTGTGGTGAGAAGTGTTTGCATTTGTGACCACATGGGAAGACTTCCTTTTACCCACCTCACCTCCCCCCTGCACCTCAGCTAAGCTGAGGGCTGAGAAGAGACCTGAGGTCCCAGCCCCTCCCCCAGCCTGCTAATGACTATGGCCTTGGGCCTGTCTGTTGCTCCAGTTCTAACTCAGTCCTTCACGCTCCCTCTCTACACCACCTGCCCCTGATACGGGGTCTTCTGCTTGCTACCCAAGAGGTAGCAAGGAAATTAGTCGTCTAATTTTCCCCTCAAGTCAGAAACAAACTCCTCCTTGGTGGGACCTGGCTGCCAAAGGGAGCCTGCCTGGAGTCTCGGGCACAGCCCTACCTCCTGAGCTCTCTTGCTTTTCTGGACCTATACAGCTCCAACCCTCTCTCTGACCTGGGCTGTGGTAACCATAAGTATTGTGTTTGGCTGTCCCTGGGTGAAGCCAGTGATTCAAGGTAGTGATCACAGCAGAGCTTCACTCCTGCCCTAGGCCTCCATCCTAGGCTTATGTAGAGACTTGGGAGAAGGATATCGTTAGTCATGGCCAGGTTGACGCTAGGATGGTCACTGATTCTGCATCTCCTTTGACAGGCATGCTGATGTCATACCAAGGTCACTGGAGGTTCCTGGTGAAGGAAACTGACAAGTCTCGGAAGACTCCCTTACCTGACAGCTCACTGGTAGATGTTTAGGGAGTGAGGTACACAGGAACCAAAGTGAAAAGCAGATTCGGTAGAGACAGATCAGACTACTTGGTAGCTTCCCTGTGGCCCTGCTTGTCCTGATGTAATAGGGGTCTCCAATCAATCTTGACTCCACCTTGGGGACTTTTCCCTTTTGGGAGCCAGTAACCTTCTTGAGCTGAATTCATGCCCTGGGCACCCCAGTTCCTCTGGGCACCCTAGTCCCTCTCTACCACTTAACTGGGGTTCCGAGTTTCAGTTTCCACCTCCGATGTCCCTTTCCCTGTCTTTACCTCCACATCATATCAGAGACCTTGGCTGGTTCCTTCTGCTCCCACCTCCAGTAAGTATTTCCTGCCTTGAGCTCCTTTCTCTAGGCCTCCAGTTCATTTCCACAGGTCTTTGCCTACATCTTGCTTAGTCGTCTCTTGCACGGTGCAGGAGATGCTGATCGCACACCACAGGACAACTGGGGGTTCTTGGCCGGTGTGTGACCCAGGGCCTTTGCTGGGGCCCCTTCCCTCCCGGGCCTGGCGGCTCCAGAGCTGTCTGGCAAGAGAGGAGGAAGGTGCGGACCAGGACTCCTTCGTGGGCTCTCGCAGCTCTGCGCGGGCCTCCACCAAGTTCGCCCCGGAGTTCGTGCGTGGCCAGGTGGGGGCGGGGGCCGAGCAGAGGGGCGGAGGCGCGGCCGGAGGGTGGGGTCTGGCGCGCGGGGCGGGCGCTGCCGCCTGGCCGGCCGCGCTGGCCCAGGATCAGGGAGCCGATGTGGAATTTCCTGCCCGGCCCGGCGCCCCTCCTGCCGCCCCCCGCCCGGCCTCGCACTCCGCTTCCGGCCGCCCTCGCCGCGGCCGCACCCGCGCCCGCGCCCACCCGCGCCTGCCCCGCGCCTCATGGAGGGCGCAGGGTCCCGGGGGGCCGGGCCGGCGCGGTGCCAGGGAGCCCGAGGGCCGCCGCCGCTGCTGCTGCTGCTGCTCTGGCTGCTGCCGGGTCTCGCGGCGCCCCAGGAGTTGAACCCGCGAGGCCGCAACGTGTGCCGCGCGCCCGGGTAGGAGCTGGGCCTGTCCGAGGCGTGGGGCGCGAAGCGGGCTGGGGGTAGCGGCGCCCCATTGCGGTCCGGGGTATCCAGGACCTCGCTAAACTGGTCGGTCGCACGAGCCCCTGGGGCCTCCTGCGCGACTTGGGCTCAGTTCCAGGCCGAGTCTGGGCCCCCGGGGTGCTTCGGAGGGCCGACTGGACCAGAAATCACCTGGGGGGATAACAGAGAGCTGTGGGCCCCCAGAAGTGGTACTGTGTGGTGTCCAAAAATGTCAGGAAAGACCAGAAAAGAGCTACTCTCGAAGCCAAGGAAGGGCATTCCGAGGGAAGGAATAGCATGTGCACAGGCTCCAGGAGCCAGTGGCTTGAGCCTAGAGTGGGGGCGAGAAGGGTGAAGAAGCAACCCTCGGGCGAGCTGGGCACTGGGGAAGGACGGATTTGTCTTGGTTATTGGGCGCAGGGTGGGAGGAGGATGGTGGTGGAAGTGAGCACGGAAAAGCCAGCGCTCACGTTGGACCAGAAACCGGAGTGGTGAGGACAATGATGGACGCGTGATGGGAGGACGTGGGAACCCCTGTCGGCTCCTAGGGGCGGACACTGGGTGCCTGGAGGTGGGTATCTGAGCGGATCTTGCTGGGGAAGCCCGTGTGGGACAGGCCCAGGCAGAAGGCAGAGGAGCCCGGAGCCTGCGCGGAGGGTGAAGAGCGACGCAGAGTAGGCGCAGAAACCGAGGACCTGTCTACTGGCCCGATCCACGACGCACTCAAGTCATCTCTGCACAGAGGCGAGGAACCCGCGGTGGGGCGCCTCTGTGGGTGCTGGGGAGACTGTTTTGGCACTCCAGGCTGGGGTCCCCGGGGGCGCTCTGGATCTAAGGCCCCCGGGGGTACGGACCGTCAGCCAGGGTTTCGGAGGGTCCAAGTAGACAAGGGGCCGCTAGCTGACCGCGCGGTTTCCGAAATCGAGTCGAGACGCCGCAGACCACTCCCGGCCGTGAGCCCCGCCTCAGAGGCGGGGGCCCGCCTGGCTAGCCATCTGCTTCGCATCGCCGCCGCCGCCTCGTCCCGGGCCTCCCCGGCCCCAGGAATGCAGCGGCAGAGGCAGGCGGGGCGGTGCCTGGGGAGGGCCGTCAGCCCACACCAGGCCTTCTCCTCCTCC